GTGAGGGAGTACCTTCGTTATTACTCGTGTTTGTAGTTTTAACATGCTGAATGCTTTAAGATGGTTTTTATTCAATGCTTACAATAAAATTGAGGCACTCAGCTTTCAGTTCCTAAAGAACCATTTATGCTTTAAAAGGCTTTTGATTGATTTCCTCCCAACAAGCTATGTGCACTAACTCAAACTCAATCTGCGCCGGAGCCTGTTGTGTGTGTGCAGATGAGAGTTGAAATGTGAATCTCCAAGGACTGTGCTTGGCCCTTGTTGATAAGTAAAAATTTCCTCTGGAGCTTTCGTAACAAATCCAACCTAGCATTCTCCTAGACACATTCCCAGGCAACTCTGGAAGGTGGACAGAGATACATTCCTTTCACCTCAAACGAATTCTCCAAAGACTAAGTTATATGGCTTTAGGAGAAATGGAAAATACCAAATGCTCATGCATGCTTGTTTTATTAAAATAACTAAGAAAAAATAGGATTGGCTTCTGCATAAAATGAAACCTCCAAATATTCAGCAGTTTAAAGGAAGCTTTAGACTCTTTAGTTACAGATATTGGTGGGTGAAGGCAATAATTCAGTAGAACTGTATCTATAGCAGCATTTCTTTTAAAAATAATAATTTTTTGGTACATTTTCCCTTTAGAAAACAAAACATAGACTTCCAGTTACTCAGATATGGATCTACTTTCCCTCTCACAAAAAGGATACTAAAAATATTAAAAAGGCCACATGGGCAAAAATAATAGACCCCCTACTAGAAGCAAGCTGAAGTGCCCTGCAGACTACCAGAAGGCCTCAGGCCTTGGAAGCTGTAGGTAACAGTGAATGTCAGTAGGCATGATGGGGTTAAGAACAAGGTGATTGCTTTAAAGTCTTTAACTTTCACAGGCTCTCAACTACCCACAAGCAGAGTCACAAAGGTTTTCTCTGGAGAAAGTGACCTGGAGACAATCTGGTTTCAGAAGACCTGAACACAGAGGGCACAGGCAATCACAGGGCTGAACACAGGTAAACTGAGGGGGAGTCTACCAACTAAACTGAGACACCCCAGCCCAGAAATCTAGGACTTGGGGTCCCCACAGCTATATGTTTGCCTAAGGGAGCACATGGATAAAAATGGATTCAAATCTGGCCCTGCTGCTTGCTAGCTAAATAATCATGGGCAAGTTGTTCATCTCTCCAAGCCTCTGTTCCCTTACCTATAAGTGCGGTAACTATAGATGTCTGAGTTATCCTAATGACTAAATTAGATAATATACATAAAACACCTAGGGGATGTCGGGCAGATGGTTCATGCTTACTAAATGGTAGCCAGCATTATCAGTGAAGAGCAGCTTCTGGAGAGCTTTCTGAAGGACTCAAGATGGAACTATCATCAGGTACAAACACCTGTAAACTGACTCCTTCACTTCTTTTCTAACAGATGACTACAGAACACAGCCTGAAATCTTCAATAATTCACAGGTCAAAAGCAGGTTTGGAACGTTGGTCCAACTGCCCAGTAGAGCATTAGAGAATGGGCTTTGAAATCAGACAAAAATGACTTTATTCCTGGCTCCTCCAATTACAAATGTGGTCTTGGCGAGTCACACAAGTATTCCACAGCTGTGAAGTGGAAACAGTAACAAGTATCTGCAAGGTTGTTGTGAGGACTGGCTGTAAGACATGCAAGACCCTAGTGGAGTGCCTACGACATGGTAGGTGTCAAGAAATGTTTGCTGTTTTCATTGTGATCATTTTTTAGGCAAAAAAACAATCATTTATAAATGCCTGGACAATCTTGGAATAAATTTTCTCTGGGTTATTTTCTTCATTCATCAAATGTCACTGGGGTTGGAGAGTCATGTGACCGTTACCAGTATACAGATTCCACTGACTTCTATTCTAACTCAGTTTGGAAATAGATAGAGTTCAGTTCTAAATGGTAAACTGTACTGCTCTTTTCGCTTAGGACATATGCAGACATTTCAGCCTAACTGGCAGCATAAGTGATACCTAATATTTTAGGTAGCTTTTACATTGGGGATTTTAACTTAATCACTTAGTGCTTCTTCCTCTGTAAAGTGGCATCTCAAGCCAGCATTAATTCTAACAGTACTTTTGTGGCTTGAACATGGACACTCATCTTTGTTTCTTGGACTCTGAGCCTCGATTTTTCTTTTAAGTGGAGAAAGCATAAAACATGAATATAAAGAATAGCATTTCTCATCTCTAATCAATGGAGAAGTAAAAATAATTTTCTTTTTTTTTTTAAAGGTCTTTTTTTTTTCTTTTGGCTGCCCCACATGGCTTGTGGGACGGACTTTAGTTCCCCGACCAGGGATTGAAATCAGGCCCTCAGCAGTGAGAGCGCAGAGTCCTAACCACTGGACTGTCAGGGAATTCCCATAATTTTCACATAAATCCTCTAAAAATCCTAGAAGACATAGCACATGTTATTTCATAAAAAATATTTTATTGGGCTTCCCTGGTGGTGCAGTCGCTGAGAGTCCGCCTGCCAATGCAGGGGACGCGGGTTCGTGCCCCGGTCCGGGAAGATCCCACATGCCGCGGAGTGGCTGGGCCCGTGAGCCATGGCCGCTGAGGCTGCGTGTCCAGAGCCTGTGCTCCGCAACGGGAGAGGTCACAACAGTGAGGGGCCCGCGTACCGCAAAAAAAAAAAAAAAAAAATTATTTCCCCTCTCAATGGGATATATTTTAAAAGCTTAGAACGTATTGTAAATCCATGGCATAGCCACATAATCTTATATTCAGTTACCTTCCTAATTGAGACAAGCAACAAAACAAAATATACATTCAAATGAAACATGCAGCTAAACCATTTATAAATAATTAAAGTTATAGATGAGGTTTTCTTTCACTGATCACAAATTATGGTAATGCTTTTGTGGTGCTCATTTCCGGGCTCACTTTGGTGTGTTTATTAAAGCACAGTATTGTCAGATCACAGGGAATATCTCATTTTCATATTTCCAATTCTAAAGGGGATTAAATTATCCAATTAAACTGTTAATTAAAAAGACTCCTACAGAATAAACTCCAGGCTACCAGTGGCATTTAAAATTTTCATTGTGCTGTGCTCAAAAGCAATTTCCTAAATTCAGAAGAGCCCCAAGTTACTGGCCGGTATTTTACTTTAGAAGGTGTGGCTGGTATCGCTAGGTAATAGCCAAACCCATTTCCTCTTCTTTCTGGGCACACAGCTAGACTATATATCCCAGCCTCCTTTGCAGTTAGGTTTGGCCATATGACTGAGCTCTAGCCAATGGAATATGAGCAGAAGTGACGTAGATAACTCCTTGGACTAGACCAAACCTTCCACTCAATATCTTCCATAACCTCTTCCCCTCCACCAGCTTCTTGTAGGTAAGCATGTATTCAATAGCATTGAAAATGGCAGAATCACAATATGGAAGGAACCTTGGTCCCTAAATCACCAACTGTAGCAGAGAAGCTCACTGATCATTAATACCCATTTTGTATGTAATGAAAACAATAAATTAACTTAAATTAGGTTAAACCATTGAGATGATCTGTTTCAACATCTAGTGCAATCTTAATTAACAAAGAAAGCAACTGAACTTGAGGGACATGCAAAAACCTTAAACCTAATTGGAAACATCAGACTCCTTCAAATATTGATCAGGTCCACTAAGATATATATCTAAAAACTGAGGCACACTGAATACCTCATAAAGTCTATCAAACAGACCATAGCAAGAGAGGTTCTAGACTTCTTGCCTCCATTACCCCAAAGCCTCTCCTTCCTGTCCATGCCTCAGAGATCACTCATAAACTCTGTCATTTCTATACATCCTTCCTTCTGCCACTACCCTACAGACAAAAATTCTTATTTCAAGGATCAGCTCAGAAACTGGAGTAGACGCTCTAAGAGGGGCACTAACAGGCCATACTCAAACACTTACTACCTACCAGCTCCACAGTCTGTCTGATGTCTATCACCTGTACATGGACACGATGGCACACCTGCTACAAACGAGTACTTTTCCACATCTCAGAACATATCAGTGTCAGAAAGATGTTTAAAATAATCAACAGGGGACTCTACTTGCACTGCCAAACTAATCCCAAAATGCCCCCCAGAGAACTTAGTATGAATTCTATGATATGCCTCTGGATTTGTCTAGACCCAGGCAAAGCAGTCAGGCTTTCACTGTCCTGCACCACTCACTCGTTGTCCAAAGGTGGCCAGGAAATATAAACTCCAGGCACTTCCAGTTCTCTGGAAGTACACGGGGCACAGAGGCTCCAGTAGTATGAGGGCAGCCATCCTAGAGATCTACAGCCAATGAGGAAGAAAAGCACACAGAAGGTGAGGTTAGGTGCCTGGTAAAAGGGCTGGGATCTGGGCAGAGAGAACTCCGACAGCATCCACCGGAGGAGAATTGAATAATTCCTTCTCTGTGCACCAAACCACAACCTGATGTCCTTGCATTTCATCACACTTGTCATGAAATAGGGTGACTGTAGCAGTTTACGTATCTGTTTCCCATGTTAGACCAGACTGCATATGGTCTGCCTAAATACAGCTAGTTCAGTGATTTAAATATAATGGTGCTCAGTTACTGTGTACTAAATAAGTGACCATAAATCGACTTGATTGTTAAAGAAAGGTGATAGCACATAGAGATTCTTTGGTTCGACAGTAACTGTAATGTTCACTGTTACTTTTGCAAGACCAGCCGTACCATGGTTGATAATTTCCTCAGAAACCTCTCTTTTCCTCAATAGGAATATTATTGCACACGCAATAAACCACATCTCTTATATTCTGGAAGAAAATACAATGACCACCTCGCAAATCTCTCATTGTCTACAGAGAAAGTTACTGCATTCAAATCCCACTTTCCTAAACCAAGAAACCTAGCCCTCTACAGTGCTTTGTGTACTTCTTAGGCAAATATTATCTAAAACGGAACTGAGTATGTTAATCAATGTAACAGGTTTCAATATTATTTTTAAAAAGAGAGGAAACAATATCTTCAACTTTTTATTGTCCTTAAAATGATTGCTCACATTGTTTCACAAGTAGGGGAAGAAAATACAATGACCATTTAGATAAGAAATGCATAATCCAAGAACACCTTTCTTCAAACCAGTGGGGCACTGCCACTGGCAATGAGAATGTTGTTGCTTGAAATAATCATATATTCTTCCATAATTTAATATGCAACTGAGACATTATGTTAAAAATATCAAGGAAGAAGCCTATCAAATGCTAAGTGATTACAGAAATACTGATGGAATAAATGTATTCAGAAATAGGGTAATCTACGGGATGAAGGTTAACGCAAAGGTCAGCAGCCCAAAGAACAAAGGCTCTGCCTTTCCTGACTCTGGGATACTTGAGAAGCAATTTCAAACCTCTCCACTGCTCTGGCACAAGCACAACCTGTGTGGCAAGCCATAGTTCCTAGTTGCTTCTTACTGATGCTCCAAGGCTAAATGAGATAAAATTTATGTGCTGTGCTTTAAGCTCCACTGAGGAAAGGCACTGAATAAACTTAAGGATAATTTACGAATCCTGAGCTTGCAGTAATCACTTCCAAGTCCATCTCATAAAAGGAAAAAAAAAAATGGAAATAGGAGGCCAATGCTATGTGGTTGGTAAAAAGCTCAGGAAACTTTGCGCAATGATGATAAGCCCAAACAAGATCATTTTATATACATAAGACCCTTGACTAATCCAGGAGACTTTCCCAAAAAAACCTAATTCCTTCCATTGCCCAGACAATAGTTCACTGGCAGAGCATCTGGTATATGAATCAGAGAAGTTTGGTCTGGCAGTCCTAGTCTGAGATCCAATATCTAATTTCCTTTTAATTTAGCATAATTATTTTTGTAAAACTTTATGGCCCTACTCCAGTGGATGTGCTTGGCAAGGACTGCCAAAATCCTGTGTTCTCTTCAGAGTCACATTCTTAGGCCAGCTTCTCCCTACTTTTTCTCTCTCCCTTCCAGTTGCATTTTACCTTCCTCCCTCTACCACTTAATCAGCGTCTGATTCTTTTATGCTAATCTGTATTGAAGAGAAGGGACAATAAGAATGTACTCTGAAAATTTAAACATGAGCATGTATTTGGAAATTCAATCTACTAGAATATTGTTCCAGTTAGTAGTGATGATTTGGGCTTCTGTGAGTTTGTTGTAATAACAGCCATCCTATCTACAGCTTTCAGTATAGTTGAGTTACATCAGGTAAAGTTAGTCAGGACAAAGTAGCCACATCATTCAGAAACTGTGAGGGCCCCAACTGTTCACCAACCAGTTTTCCTAAACCATTAAGTGACTGAACGAGTCCCATTTCCAAACTCATAATTCTATGCTTTTATCAAACACTTTCTCTGACCTGCAGGAATGTGTTTATTTGGAATTTAAAAAGAGAAATCTAGAAGGAAAATGCTATTCATGTAAGCCTTAAAAATCTCAGCTGATTTTAAATGTCCAGATACAGGAAAAAAACAAGGAGAATCTTCTAAGTCTAAACCAAATCAGAATGATTCCTCTGGAGAAAAGACACAGTAACTGCTTGTTTTCAAAATACAAAGTAAGGTCACATTAAGCCATGGTTAAGGAGGAAAAGGTAGCCGCTCTTCAGGAGTCTGTCTATTCAGAAAGCGGGAAGTCAAGGGGAAAATCACTCTCCTCTGACTAACGCAGTGGAATTGTTTTCCTCATGATGGTGCCCCTGCATTTTTCTCCCTTCTTAAGTTCCCATGGTTACAAAAGGACATGGCACACACTTTTATATATATATATATATATTTTTTTTTTTAAATGACAAATCCCAGGGATGTAAAATGGCTTCCTCTGGTTAGCCTGAATTTGTCATTTTGCTTCCGAGATTTTCCTATTGGCCTACTTAACCTAGAACCACATGTACAAGGAATAATGTGAAGGGGGGATGGCTATTTTAAGAAACCGAAAATGCCAGGTAACCACTTTAAGGCCATTACAATTTTATCCTACACACACGCTGAACACACACTTGAAAAGTGTGAGAGCTTGAAAAGACAGAGCTCTGAGGATCAAAAACGTAATACTGCTCTTTCTTACAGACTCTTTAGAAGAAGACTTGAAGAGTAAAAATTATGTTTCTTTAGACTATGAAGGGAATTTTCAATTCAATCAACAGATTCTAAAATGTCTTTAATCAAGAAATTTTTCAAAAAGGTTCTTTAAAAGAGAGGTAACTTTAACTGAGCCACTTTGCGCCCTCCTCAGTGTGGGGTTTGTCCCTTTGCACTAAAGGAGAAGGAAAGCCATACATTCCTAAAGGGGAATCAGAAAATCATTTTCTCGATGCCTACTCATTTCAGAAACAGGAGAATGCACATATATGAGGATAACAAGACAATCAGGAACTGGACTGAAGAGAAGTATCCAGCAGATGACATAATCTCCAAGGTTTGGGCAGACTAGATCGAATTTTGGAGATGTCATTTCTTAGTGTCCCCACTGTTGCGTGACTAGGTGTTTTGGCTTCTTCTGGGACTTACAGATACAACCTTGTCTTTCTATTTGACGAACTCAAACCTTTACCAAGCAGCCTTTCTGCCAGCTTTGCTCATGCTGACTTGAACAGGGCAATAAGCTACACCAGATACAAGCTGTGAGGCACGTTTTCATGCCAACAGGCTCCAAAGCTGAAGGCAAGAACTTCATCAAATATTGTAAAATGAGAATTCAACATATTTCTAATCTAACTACCTTAGAGTTAATCAACGCTATGTAATGACGATGTGTGAAATCTCACAGTGCGCTCCACAGTGCAGAAAGACCTCCCAGGTATCCTCGCACATGTCCACATCACTGAGGGTTGCAAGTGTAATAGGCTGAATTTTCTTCTGGATACGTTCTACTTAGGGCCCCTGCAAAGCTGTAGATTAAAATGATATGGACCACTTAGCTGTGGCTTACACACTAAAATGGACAACAGCAACAATTCAGCAGACAGCATTTTAACAAAAGCAGCCTAGGGACTTATTTTTGTTGGTTTGGTTTTCTATAGAAACATACTTGATTCGATTTTTTGCATTCCATTTTTTTAAGCCTTACAACTCTGAATAGATACTGTTTAGATCTAAGCAATACCCAAGTAATGAAGATGCATCAAAAATAAACAACCTCAGGGGAACACAGGCCTAAAGCAGTAGGTGATGAGCACTGCACAACTCTCTCAGGATGGCATAAACCAACAGTCCAGCTACCAGAGTCGGCAGGAGTCCGTGCCTCTGTTCATCGTGGAATTGGATGGACAGTTAAAAGCCTTCTGGAATTCTTCAAAGTTGCTAACTGCACCATTGACCCTGAAAAAGATATGTCAAAGTCCATGTCATTTAATTCTTACAAATCAACAGGTTCTGGATAAAACTGTATCATTATATTGCTTGATATGATGTTGCATTCATTTAATCTGTTTACAGGGAGATAACTGAAGCCCAAAATGGTTAAGTAAATTTCCAAAGAAATTAACAGAGCCGAGACTAGAACCAGACAAATGCTATTAATCTTCCAAATATCTTCAAATTTCTATAAACTGTAGGATCTACAATTCCTATAAATTGTATATAGGGTCGTACATTCCTATAAATTCACAAATTCCTACAAACTAGAAGATTTACCAATACTTAGCTTTTCTATTTTTTAATTTAGCTTTTTAAGGAAGATATAACTGATAGAGAGTATACGCATTTAAAATGTAAAGCTCATTTAGTTCACATGAATACACCCATGTTACTACCACCCAGATCAAGACATGGGATATTTCCAGCACCTAGAAGGCTCCCTTGTGTGCCCTAACAGTAGCACCTCCAAGCATAACTACTAGTCTGACCATAGATTAGTTCTGCCTGTTTTTTAACTTCACATGAGTGGACCACATAGTATGCACTCTTTTGCCTCTGACTTCTTTCATTCAGTATTATGTCTGTCAAGATTCATCCATGTTGTTGCTGTCTTTAAATTACCTTTTTTTAAAAAAACATTTTATTTATTTGGCTGCTCAGGGTCTTAGTTACAGCACACGGGATCTTCACTGTTGCGTGCAGGATCTTTAGTTGTGGCATGCGGGATCTTTAGTTGTCGCACGCGAACTCTTAGCTGCAGCATGTGGGATCTAGTTCCCTGACCAGGGATCAAACCCGGGCCCCCTGCATTGGGAGCACAGAGTCTTAGCCACTGGACCACCAGGGAAGTCCCTAAATTATCTTTAAAGAACTCTTTCAATCTACAAAAACACTTTTTATAAACTCCTATTATGTTTGAAGGCTCACATTTACCTAGAATTTGGTTTATGCAACCGTAAACTAATGAACGGTGTCTAGCTGTTATTGATGAGTAATGCTTTACTGGAGTTAGCTCCAAAATCTGGTGTTCTTGCAAGTTCCCTGACTGCAGTAAAGACTGCGGATTCCTACTCAGCACTTTGATTCTAACTGCCTTTTGGAAGTGGTATTTCCATTGTGTGATTTCTGCTGCACTCAAAATCTACAGTTACCGCAGAGATCACTAACAAGCCAGGAAAAAACCTCCCCCCTCATCTATTTCTTACTCGACTGCATGTTCAAAAGGCTGACTAGAGACAGCATTCTCGGCCACTGACTGTTTCTTCCCTAATGACTTTGTTCCCTATGGGCATTTGAATGAATATAATGGCCTGTATCCCCGAATCCCCATAACCTCTTGTGTTTTAGCTGGGATGTATGGGGAGGGATGCAGGTTTCATAGTATGATTCACCCTGGGAAAGTGTTAAGGATAGAATTTAGCTGACAGTCAGTAAGTATACTCTGCAAATTATCAGCTAAAATCCAACATTACAGGCAACTAGTTAGTAAAAGGAAATTAGTTTTTAAAAACTTATCTGTTAAGTAATTAATCCACTGTGTGGTATCATCTGCACCATTTGTCAGTGGAATCAAATTTTAGTCCATTAGAGACTGTCAGCATTCTTGACAGTTTAGCCCAGTGGGGGAGAATTTCTAACACAATGATTAGATTTTTATGCTATTGGGTAATTTATAGTCAATTTCTGAAGCATTTCTAAGGCAAGGCTTTGGGAATAAGACTTTAAAACAGGAGAAATTTTAGATGACTTTCCTGCAATATGCTAATGGATTCGTTTAAACATTAAATATAAAGATATCCAGATGTAATATGTTCTAAGTAAAGAACAAATAAATACAAATTATTACGGTTTCTTGCATTTACTATTATAACTCTGTCCCCTACTATAGAAAATTTCCCTCAAACTATGCTAGAAACCTAGCATGGGTTAAGTAATATTAATCTTAATTTTATTTTTACTTAATATTTTATACATTCTGACAATTAAATAAGATTGTAATTCATAATTCTTTTCCCTTCATATATAAGCAATTGTTTCAAAATATGACTCAAACTAAAAGCCAAAATATAGAGCTTTTGCCTCCAGATATGAATTACAATAGCTAAACATCACTATATATCCTCCTTGGTGTTCAGAGCTATTCAGAAAGTGGGCACTTATTCATGTCTGTTGGTTGGCTGTATGAAAGAACAAGAGGCATTAAATAGGATATTCTACAACACAAATTAAACCAGAGCTCTAGGTGTTTTAAGCCACAGTGCATAAGATCTCATCCTTATCTAAGAAAAGAGACTTTTGGCCCATGTTTCTAAAAAGTAGGCAGTTGGAAACATCAAACATGCCAGTTTACCGAGCACCTGTGGTGTGCTCAGGGCACCCATGGATTGCTGCCTTTCAAAAATTGGAAGATAATAAATGGGAATTAATACTAAAGCTATGATTTGGATTCTAAATTACCTTTGGAGTCTTGTACAATCTCATAGATCTCTTGATACTAGAGGTGTGTACAAAAGCCTACTACTGAAATTTAGGTGAGAGAATGCTAACTAAACCAGCTTCCTACTAATTAAAGAAAAGATGCTTAGTTTCTGTTTGGCCAGATTTTTTTGGGGGGGCCGGGAAATGGAGCTATCACTGTTCACAATGCAGGCTTTGGTCAGATCACCTATTTTAGACCCCTGGGATGGCTGGGTAGGGGAGGAGATGGAGATGCACAGTTAAAACCTAGTGTCACAAGGGCTTCCCTGGTGGTGCAGTGGTTGAGAGTCCGCCTGCCGATGCAGGGGACACGGGTTCGTGCCCCGGTCCGGGAAGATCTCACATGCCGCGGAGCGGCTGGGCCTGTGAGCCAAGGCCACTGAGCCTGTGCATCCAGAGCCTGTGCTCCACAACGGGAGAGGCCACAACAATGAGAGGCCCATGTACCGCAAAAAAAAAAAAAAAAACTAGTGTCACCCATGTGCCTATTTACCTAAACTGAGGGGGGCTGTGAGCACCAACTTGGATTTGTTCTCGGGCAGCTTCTGGTCTGTAGGAATTGCACCTCACCTAGAAGAGAAAACATCCCGATAATTATGTTTCAATTACACATTTTCTACTGCCTTAACTGCTCCAAATTATACTGAAGAGTAATTTTAGACTCAACGGATGACAAGCAGTTTTAGTAGATCAGATAACACCTTCATCAGTAGTAACATCTATTATTCCAATTCCCAGAGTAGAAAGTTTTATCATTGTGAATACTTCCAGAATTTGAGTAAATTAAGAGAGGTTTCCAAACAAATGCTTTAAATCAAGAGAACAGCATATGTGTCCAGGAATCAACCAATGTGTTCATTCAGCTAACATGCTTGGAATAGCCCTTATCAAATTTAACCACATTCGTTTGAATCAATAAAGTGAATCAATCATCCATTATTGAATATGGTCATGAGAAGTAGGTATTTTGCACCCTGGGTGCTTTGTTTGCTTCATCCTAGTTCAGGCCTTGGATAGAAGGACACTGCTCCATCTCCTTTGAAGTTAGGCATGGCTATATGACTTGCTCTGACCAATGAAATGTGAGCAGAAGTGATATATGTCACTTCCTGGCAGAAGCTTTAAAAATCTGGCAGAAGTTTTAAGAGTATTAAGAACAATTTAAGATGCTACAATTAAGGGCCAGTGCACATTTCCTCGTATTTCTTCCCTACTCCTATGGTGACCACGGAAGCACATGTGGAGATAAAGACTCCAAAACCCAGGTCCTTGAGTAGTAACTACGAGCAGAGCCCCAGTGCTGACCCATGCTGGACATGGAACATGGACAAGAAAAAAACCTTTCCTTGCACTGTCTGTTCATGTACCCTCACCTACTTAATCCTGATTTGAACTGTGTCTTGAAATATGATATAGCTTGACGTATGAATAGGACTAGGAAACATGAATATGATGGGGGGAATTCCAGGTGGAGGAGAAAATGGAAACAAAGACATATCTGAGAGAAGAAAAAGCAAGACAGTCAGCTTGGCTGGACTGTGTGGTGCATAGTGGGCAGCAATGGGAGACCAGGGGAGGGTGAGGATAGGGCCAGATTTCTGAAGTCCTGAGCAAGAGGCTACAGTGTTTAGACTATATTTAAACATTGGTTTTGAGCACAAAGGTGATAAAAAATATATATTTTTAAAAGATTTATCTGGCAGGGGTATTTTAAAAGATTTATCTGGCAGTAGTTTGAAGATTATTTATGGGCCCCAGGAAGGTTCCCAATGAATGTCTACTAAATAAGTAGCAATGAGAAGAGAGAGAAGAAGGATAAGAAGAATATCTGAGGAAAAAATGACGGGTCACAGAAACTACAGGGATACAGGAAGCAGCAAAGGTGATACAATGCTATTGCTTTATTGCTTTTGATGAAGATAAACCAACCGTCACTGTGGTTCTGAATTTGACTTTGAAGATGTTTTTGTAATGGGAGTACTTAACTTCCTCAGAAGCTAGCTAAGGTGAAGTTGTTTCTCACAATTTTACCTCACTTTTTCGTATGTTATTTCCTCTTACATTCTTACATTATTATGTAGTATTGTCTTTGCTTCATATATCATTTATGAGATTTCTAAAAACACATTTTTGTTCTTACTGTTTTCCTAGTATCTTCCCAGGAGAGAAGATAATTTTACTCCTTATAAGCAGACTTATTTCAATGTATAGAAGGTTGAAAATCTCCTCAATCCGCTAGTAGGAAAAGCTCCAAGATAAATTTCTCATTAGTAATATAAAATATCTTGTCATTTTTTTCTTAATCTCTTTAAAGTAAGTCATATATAGTTTGAAATTTTATTTGGAGACATTTCAAAACTATGACTGTAACGTTGATATCAGTTAATTTACTTCATCTACTAAGATGGACCTTAAGTTAGAAAGTAAGAACCTAAATAAGAACTGACAGACCTTGTACTTTGTCCTCTAGAGTAGAGGACAGCAAACATTTTCTGTAAAGGACAGATAATAAATATTTTAGGCTTTGCAGATCGTAAGTCTCTGTTTTAACCACTCAACTCTGCCACTGTAGCACAAAAACAGCCATAGACAATGTGTAAAGTATAGAGCATGGCTGTTTTCCAATAAAACATTATTTACAAAAATAGACAGCAGGCAACATATGGCTCACGGGTTCTAGTTTGCGAATCCCTGCTCTAGAAAGTTCTAACTATATCTGTGTTCTTATTTTAGATATCTGGCCCAGTACTGACCCAAAAGAAAGTCTCCTTAATTGAACTGTGTTAATCTCAGTGTTTTCAAGCAATTTAGCTAAAAATGTCAAGTGTCTTCAATATACCCAGCCTCTTTGCTGGATGCTATGGAGATAAATAAGAAGTGTATGAAGATGTACGAGCTATGAAGATAAAAGTAAAAGTCTTTTACATTTTGATAACAATTAAGTATTCAACTGCATGGTAATGAAGATAAATGCAAAGGAGTTGGAGATTTCTTTTTAACGAGAACTGGAGTCCTTGGGGAAGTTTGTGGAAGATGCGGAGGAGGTGGAACTTGACATGGATCCTGAAGGTAAAGATGGAACTGAATAATCTGAGGGGGAGGAGTACAAAGGGGGTCGTCACTTTGTAGAAGGAAAATCAAAAGCAAAACCACAGACACAATAATGAACAGAACATTGTGCGGTGGAAGTGAGGACACCTGCCGGCTAAGTGTGAGTCTGGTGGAGCTATGGGAATTTAGAGTTGGTTGGGTAGAGTTGGATAAGACTGAGGAGAACTTTGAAAGGTGTTCGGTCTCAATGTGGTGGGCACTTGGGAGCCACTGCAGTTCTTTCGGCAGGTCAGTAATGAAATAAAATGCTATTTCAGTGGCATGTAAGACAGACAGTGGTAGAAAGACGCCGAGGTCAGGAAAACATGCCATAAGGCTGTTGGGATAATCCAGAGTAGACGAGATCGAGGCTGACAGTCTATAGATGACGAAATAGGGTAATGGGGAGAAAGGGAGGCTGAATCTGAAGAGCAGTTAAAAGGATGAAACATCAGTTTTTGGGACACATGTCATAAAAATGAGGACAGGTAAATCAAATAAGACCTAAGAATCCAGGTTTCTTAACCAGGAAGACCCAAAGACTGAGGGTGAGGGTGTGTTGATAGAAGTGAGAAAACTAAAAAGGAAAGTCACTTTGTTGTTGACTCCACTTTTGCTGATGTCAGGTTGATAAATGATCATTTATTTAGTGTTGTCATGTCAGCTTTAAGAAATAAAGACCCCAGACAGATGAGAATTCTTTAGCCAGAGTCAACCGAAGAAGACGTGGAAATGAATGAGCTTACTGAGGAGTGAACGAAAAGAGGAACAGAAAGCTGTACTGATGAAAACTTTTGCCCAGTTTTGAGCATACAGATACAGATTTGCCCACTGTGAGGCCATGCATCAGAACCGTCATCAACCCACCCCAGACTTGTTTGAAAATGAGGCTACATATTGTGACATAAACCAGTGCAATAACCGAATAACAAAGAACAACTGGCACTTGGCTCACTGGCCAGATACTCGAACTCAGAATTGTACCTTATTTAGGGCACATCTTTCAATTTCTGCTCAGAGAGCCCATTAAACTCACAAAAGGGTGACATGACTCTCCTTGCCTTTGTTGTTGTTGTTTTCAGCTCTAGTTGTCTTCACATGTTCATTTGGCAGTTGGGAACATAGCCTTGAGGGTCCCCCACAGGTTGAGAGTGGTGGGGTATAGTCAGCAAATGAGGTGAAGGAGGAGAAATGCAGGAAACCACAGGGCCAAGAAAGCCAAAGAACAAGTCACTAGAAATGGTTACAAATAGTATCAAATACATTAAGAAGTCAGGATATACTAAAAATCAAGTGAGTTATCACAAGGCTGGTAACCCACTTGATAAAAAATACCAATAAACCTTGATTCAGTCAGTTAATTAATTATGTCCCATAGAACATAAAGGTGATATTTGTCCAGAAGATAAGCAGCAAGATAAGACTGCAGCTGAAATCAAAGTTATGCCATTAAACTTTGGTGCCAAACCTTTGATCTAGGGAGCAAACCAAAGCCCCGCATCTCATCTTTGATGCCCCTTCCTTGGTCTTACTCACTTGAGCATAACTCAGGAAGAAAAGCTGGCTGTTGGTGAATTCAATGCCGGGTAGGAGAGGCTCCTCAACCCCCTGCCTCTTGTCATTTATCCATTTCCTGTAAGCCTGGGGAGAGAAGTAGAAGAGATGATCTGCTGCAATAATGGCTTTTCTCTTTTCTCAGCCAGTGCAGAGATATTAAATATGTCCTCCACCATGTGCAAAATGTAGCCTATCAAGTTTTCCTTTAAGAAAACAAACACCTGGAAATGCAAGTCAACGTTGTATTGCTTAACAGTGAAGCAGGTTCACCTGCAAAAAGACCTTTCACTCAATAGATACCAAAGCAGCTGGGCCAAAGTGGGCACATGTTAAATAATGCCCCCTTCCCCCAAAAAGCTTTTCTTCGTATTCCTACCAGGGAACAAACAAATCTAACACAATGGCAAGCCATATGGAAATAAATTTGGGGGCCAATCTATGGGCAATTTTTTTAAATTTTGCCAGGTAAGAGGGAAAACTATAATCTTCAATCATCATCATTTTATAAAATAAAGTATATTTTAACTAGAATAGAGGAAAGATATAACCTCAGAATAACAGCTTGGTCTTTACACTGAATGCATTTAGCTTTATGAATGTCTTTCTACATCATCCTCTTATCTTGCTGCTTATGTGTCTTGTTTAACCATGGACCAGTGGATGATGAAAACATTATTATGGACTCTTACCTGGCCCACTATATGAGAACCCCTAGCCTCTGACCGTAATTTAGAAGTTTGGTATTTTAAGAGAAAATTATAAGGAGGGCTACAGAGACTGTACTCAAGAAAACGCCTATGAACCTAGCCCTGAGATTTCTGTAGCATGTTTTAATATTACACTGAATGTACCTTCTGAAAACTATCCTTTAAATACATGATTCTTAATAACAAATATTACTTTTAGGGTGACTTTACTCCCCAAAAAGGAAAAAGAAAGAAATGCAGCCCTATTCATATAATAGAATGTAATAGAGTCAATGGGGAAATATAATTCAATTTACAGAAATTCACAGAATTTACAGAACTCTAACTCCTCAAGAAAATGTCTGTGGTGTAAATTGAGGTGCACCCGTATGGTATTTTATAGTTTAATTTTTAAAATCACAGCAAATGTTGCAGTGCGTACCCTAAAAGCTTGTCGCAGACCTCCATTATCGGCAATATTTTCTCCCAGGGTCCTCTTCCCCTTTACCTAACAAAAAGAAAAAAAGAGTGTTTGACAGCCAACTGTCATTCAGCAAGAGGCATAAATATGATAGCAAGAGAAAGTGCCATATTTTAAAGAGAAAATTGCATTCAGTAAATCAGAGGTAGTCACAACATATTGTGAGATGGCAAACTGACCCCAGCAAGGCGCTCCTGAACATAACTTCTGTTTTATCATGCTACACATTTCTTTCTCACCCACCTCTCTATTCTCACCAATTTAGCCAGCTCCAATAAAATGTTAACATATTCTGAGTGACTCTGGTTAAGTGGGGAAAAAATATCAATGTACAGATTACTTTCTCTGATTAACTCACCTAATTTGAGTATTCTTTTCAGTGTGCTTTATGTTTCCAAATATCTACCATCCACACAGGAGCAAGGCTTTAAGACCAACCATTACCATTTTACCTTCAGCAAATTCCATGAAAAATTAAAAAGAGGATAGTTCTCATGGGGAACAAAAATCCAATAGAAGTAGTGCAGACCACAAGGTCAAGGTTTGCAATATGTATGACAACCGGCCAAGCACAGTGAAGAAATTCTACCAAACATTTGAAGATTGTTTCTAAAACCCTTAAATAGGCTAGGACAAAAAAATATTCTAAACCAAGATGGCCCACAAGCCAAAATCCAACCTCCTGCGTGTTTTTCTACAGGCTGCAAGGTGAGCCTGGATTTAACATTTTTCAACAATTGGGGAGCAAATAGAAAGAAGGATAATATCTTGTTGCATGTGAAAATTATACAAAGTTCAAATTTCAGTGTCCATAATTCAAGTTTTATTGGAACACAGGCACATTCATTCAAATACGTATTGTCTGTGGCTGTTTCCTTCCTACAGTGGCAGAGTTGAGTAGGTGCAACAGAGACCTTACAACTCACAAAGCCTAAATTATTTACTACCTGGCCCTTTACGGAAAAAGTTTGCCAATCCCTGCATCAGAGACAAAATAATGCCCTATAATAATAAAGATGTCTATGTCATAAAAAAATTACTGTGAAAATATTACTTTATGTGGCAAAAGTGACATTTAAAATATGATTAAGGATCCTGAGCTGGAGACATTAGCCTACATTATCCAGTTGAGTTCAATGTAATTACAAGGGTCTGTACAAATAGAAGAAAAGGAAGTTAGGAGAGTGAGTGTGTCCGAGAGATGCAACGTGAGGAGACTTGACCAGTCACTGCTGGCCTTGAAGAAGAAAGGGGCCAGGAGTCAAAGAATGTGGGCAGCCTCTAAAAGCTAGAAAAGGCAAGGAAAGAGATTCTCTCCTACAGCAGCTAGAAAGGAAAGCAGCCCTGGTGACACCTTGACGTTAGCTCACTGAGACCTCAGTCAGAAATACAGAACTGTAAAATAATAAATTTGTGTTGTTTCAAGTCACTAAGTTTGTGGTGATTTGTTATAGCAGCAACAGGAAACTAATACACATTGTTCTAAACTTTCAAGCCACAGATGCTACCAACTCTTTATTAAGCTAGCCCAATCCCCCAGGTATCAAACAATACCAATGAATAAAAACTAATCTTCAGAAAACATTAATCTCTGTAATCACCCAGGATCCTCCTAGCTTCAGTCCCCAAAAGTTAACACTCCTGCTTTACATACCTTCTTTCTTTTATTACACTCCTACGAGGTAAGTGCTATTATCACCATCCTTGCTTAACAAATGAGGAATCTAAAGCTGAGAGTGTGTCGCAGATGTCATTGGTGCTACACCAAATCCCCTTTTCTACCAGGACTGTGAACCCAGTCCTGTAACTGCTAGTGGCTCAGGAAGATTAAGCTTAGCTTAGGGGAATCCCCTCACCTTGAGCTTGCTGGGAGGTGATATCCCCACCTCTCAGTAACTGACTGATGTACAGTTAGAATAGCCCAGCCCCTTATCCTAGGCTGAACAATTCCTGTGATGCAATTCATGCTCCAGAATCCTCTATGGGATCAAACTGAGGCTAAACTTCTGAAACCAACAGGTCTTCCTTGCCACCTTACAGGTTTCTCCTGAAACTACTTCTGCAACGAACCTTTTTATCTAAGAAACCCCTATCTTGGGCTCTGCTTCTAATGGACCTGACCTAAGAGTGATTAACTGAACTGCCCATATTTCACAAGGATTCGAACCCAAGCAGTCTCTGTCCAGAGCCTTTGCTCCATAATGTTACCTTCTCAAGTCTTAACTCCTCTTGACTCTAGTGCTTCTGTTTATAAACACTCATGCTCAAATTTAATCTCCTTCCTTGTTCCCCTAAGCTTTTCTTTTAGAGGTTTGAGGACTAGCTTCACCCCTCAGGCCGCTCCCACTCTGGACCGCCTCAGTAGACCATATGGCCCTAGATTTTTTTTTCAGTATTTTTTCTTTTTCATCATTTTTTTTTTTTTTTCGGTACACAGGCCTCTCACTGCCGTGGCCTCTCCCACCACGGAGCACAGGCTCCGGACGCGCAGGCCCAGCAGCCGTGGCCCACGGGCCCAGCCGCTCCGCAGCACGCGGGATCCCCCCAGACCGGGGCACAAACCCGTGCCCCCTGCATCGGCAGGCGGACCCCCAACCACTGCGCCACCAGGGAAGCCCTCATCAGTATTTTTTTTAAAGTTGAGAATTATGTTTTTGTTTTTTTAATTTATTTTATCTTTGGCTGCGTTGGGTCTTTGTAGCTGCATGCAGGCTTTTCTCTGGTTGCAGCGAGCGGGGGCTACTCTTCGTTGTGGTGCACGGGCTTCTCATTGTGGTGGCTTCTCTTGTTGCAGAGCACGGGCTCTAGGCGCGCGGGCTTCAGTAGTTGTGGCACACAGGCTCAGTAGTTGTGGCTCGTGGGCTCTAGAGCGCAGGCTCGGTAGTTGTGGCACACGGGTTTAGTTGCTCCGCGGCATGTGGGATCTTCCTGGACCAGGGCTGGAATCCGTGTCCCCTGCATTGGCAGGCAGATTCTTAACCACTGTGCCACCAGGGAAGCCCCATGGCCCTAGGTTTGCCTCTCAGGACTCAACAGCTGCTAACAGCCCGTTTCTCTGATGCTCCATTGGAGCTCCCCCCAGTCCAACGCAAATAATGGTTCAGGTACAGAGGATTGGCCTCCACAAATGGAGCCAGAAAAATAAAGCATGGCCCTTTATATCCACAAAGGAAGCCACCCCCTCTCCTTGGGGAATGAGACTGAAGCTGTTTTCTGACGGTTGAATGGATTTATGCTGAGACAGGCATGCCCTTTCTATCGTCCTTGTTGCAAAGGTACACATTTGTCAGAATTCAGTTTCAGTATCTGACACTTTGGCCAAAATGGATGTTGTAGAATAGTCTCCGCCCAATACATCACCCAGGTTTAAAATGAACTTCAAATAAGAGAACACGAGCATGATATGGGGGGAGCAGTAGTGATGTTGGAGTCATACCAATCTAAGCTCTAATGTAGATTCTACCATGGGTTTTAATCACTCTGAGCCTCAGTTTCCTCATATGTAAAACAGGCTAGTAATATGCACACCTCTCAGAACCAGTATGAGGATTAAATATGTTTCAATTAAGTGTAAAGTCTAACTCCCATGCCTGCATATAATAATCACCAGGAAATATGCATTCCCCTTCCTCCAAGAAAACTGCTCTTCTATTGTTTTTTGGTTTTTTAGCCCCTATTGTATTGTTCTCTCCTGGGATGGCATACCTATGAGTATGTCACAAAGTATTAGGAATATTAACTACAATTTATTGAGCACTTATTGCATAGCAGGCATCATGCCGGTGCTTTACATTATCTCAGTCATTTAATTCTTAAGACAAACTAACGAGTTCAAAAATAGCTGCCCATTTCACAGATGAAGACTCTGAGACACAGGAATGTTAAATAACTCGCCCAAGTTCAAAAAAAACTTACAACGTGCAACTGGTTGAACCAAAATTTGGAGCTGTGTCTGACTCTAGAATCCCTCCCCTATGCTTTTTTTTTTTTTTAGAGGTACTTTGCTAGTTTCTGTAATCAAACCCATGCAGATAAGACCTTACAAACTTAATACAGTGTGTCACCCCTGTCCAAATGGAAAAATTATGTTTAATGTTTCTAGACCAATATGGCTGTTAATTTCTATACAATGCCAACCCAACACGGTACAACTGGGATACTTTCTCCAAAGTTGACAGCACAGATAAAGTTTCCAAATATTCAAATTATATATATGTGTGTATATACAGAGAGAGGTATAGATAGATAGATAGGTTTATATAAAAGACCAATAGTAGTATATTATGCATCAGTAGCAGCAACAGCTTATCCAGGTTCTACGGTCATCTGAACAAAATTATAGAGACATCTAGCACATGCTATTAAAAACAAAAAGGCAAAAAACAAACCCCCAGAAAACAGCAATGTTCTGTTACTGTTGTGGTACCTGGCACCATTTTTTTTATTAGCTTCTCAATCATCATCTGGGAAGAACCCTATGCTTTTCTTGAAGCAACATATATTCTAGATGGATTTTCACAATGTGATAACCCCTGAATTGAAAACAGATACACAGAAGCGCCCCTTTTAGGTCTTCCCATGACACAGTTGTAGATATTTTTAAAATATATGGGCAGAGAAATGGCTTTCCAGGACACTGATAAAGGAGCTAGAGATACTATTCAAGGATACAGAGTCTGGTTTCTCTTCCTGGATAAGGGATGGTCTCCCTGGTGCTGTATACGCTTTCAGAACCAGGAGAACCGGCTCAGTGTTCATAAATGTTCCCTTTAAAAGTGCACAGACTGTTATCTAAATTCTTCTGGAATGGTCAAATAAACCCCAGTATAATAGACTTGAGGCATAGTGAGGTTTCAGGTGCTTTCCCAGCCCAAGTTGTCAGGATGGAGCACGTGCCTGACTAACAGACCAAGAGACTCTGGGGAAACTACGTGTAAATACACTGACCTACTCCAGTTCTGTGTGGTCCCCTGCTTCTCTTAGGTGTTGTGCCCTTGACTAGATGAATTAGGAGGACACAGTTTGCATGTGCGTTTTAGAGGAAGATCTTCATGCAGATCCATACCTATCAACAATTCTTCATTATTGGTCGCACTGTCAAACACAGTGAGAGAAATCTGTGTCTTGTAACTATGAAAGCAGGGACAGAAAATACAATGGAAAACTACAAGAAAAAACGAATAGTGGGGGAAGGGAATGAAAGATAACCTGATCAAACCAGCAAAATAAGAAAAGAAAAAAGAAGTAAAAACAATGTACAGGAGATAAACTATAAAATCGTATTTCAAAACCGAAAACAAATACCAAACAGATGGGAAGGCATACCACGTTCTTGAACAAGAAGACTATGACAAAAATGTCATTCCATACATTTAATGCGATTTAACTTAGAATCTCAATGGGATTCTCTTGGGGAGTGGGTGGAGAATGGGCAAAATGATCTTGGAGTGTATACAGAAGTATATTTGCCTGAGAATGGCCAAGTATATAAAAGAAGAACAGTGAGGCAGCGCTTGCATTGGCAGATACCAGAAAAATCCATAGAGCTATAGTAATAACACATTGGTATAGAAATCAACAAATAGATCAGTGGAATAGAATATAGAATCCAGAAATTTATCTCAGTATATATGAGATTCTAATATTTGACAAACATTCAATTAAGAAAAATACGTCTTTTAGTCACTGATGCTGGATCAATTGACTATCCTCTTGGAAGAAGATAAAAGTGAACTCTCGTATTGAACTCCACAGCGAAATAAGTTTCACACGCTTCAATATTTAAATGTAAAATAACAAAACAGTAAAAACCTTCCCAGAAAAGCTAGGAGACTACACATATGATATAGAATGGAAATGCAGAAACAATTTTTTAAGAGAGATAGGTATCTTTGACTATATGGAAATATTTAAATTTCGTTTGTCAAAAGATACCATATACAAAGTACAATGGATGAGAAATATATTGAGGAGAAAATAGTATAATATGAATGACAAATAAAAATTTTAACATCTATAATATTTTGTAAGGTCTCATAAACTGACAAGTAAATAACTCAATACATAAATGCTCCTCCATCCATCACTGGTGGGAATATGAAATATTATAACTTCTTAATAACATTAGGAATCTATCCTCTACAGAAAAAAAGAATATATACCTAATAAGAGTATTTAGTGCAGCAGCATTTATTGTGGAGAAATAACTGGAGACACAGTGTAACCCTCAACAAGACATTAGTCATCTGTGTTAGAGTACATTCACACCGTGGACTTTCAGGCAGCCACTGAAAACAGTGAAGTAAAAGCACGTGCGTGCACACACACGTGCGTGTGTATGTATGTGTGTAACTCTACATGAGCATGGGAAAAAGTATATCAGGGTTATTGAGATGGATTACAGGTGGAGAAGATAAAAGTGATGAGAGGGAAAGGGGAAGGAGGTAGAGGTGAAGACAAAAAAGGAAAGGAACAACATTCCATACAGAAAAGCATGTATAAAATTACATTCGTGCCTTTATAGGAATGTATATATATATAATAGAAAATCAGCATTTTAAAAGTCATTTCTTTTGTTCAAAATTCTTTATCTAAGAACTCTTAACCAATTCAGAGTCATTAATTCAAATGAGTGACGTTTTATCTCAGTGAATTAAACCTAAGCAGTAGTTTGGGAGGAAATCTTTTTAATGGTATACAGTGTAGATTTGTGAGAATTTTATTGTTTATCTTTGCTACAGCGTTTTCTGTACTAATCTGAATCTAGGAGAACAGACTAATGTTTAGGCCTGTGATTTTGAAACTTTAGCTTATATCAGAATCACCTGAGGGCTTATGAAAAGACAGACTGCCAGACCCCACGCTCCCACCCACCCCCCGCTCCCCACTCCCCACCCCCGAGATTCTCAGTCAGTAGGTCTGGATTAAGACTAAAGAATTTACATCCCTGACAAGTTCCCCAGGGAGGCTGATGCTGTTGGCCTGGGAACCGCACTTTGAGAACCGATGGTCTAAAGCAAGCTAGTGTCTTCGTGAGGAAGAAGGACTCACAAGATGCCCCCTTCGCCACAGCTGTACTCACGTGTAAGCCAGCTTTCTTCCAAAAATAGTTGCTATACTGGCTAATCATGCACTTTGTTTTTTCCTTAAACTTTTCTTCTGAGTCAACAGACCACCAAGGGTCCAGGTTTCCATTTTTATCATATTTTCTACCTGGCAAAAAGCAAAGTTAAAAGATACTCGTATTATTTATGGAAACAAATTCATTTCTTCATCTTCCCTTTCCCTCACTTCAACAAGCCTTGAAAAGACAGTTCCAGCAGCAGGGAGCACTCCTGGAAGCAGTTCCTGCCTTCTCTCCAGTGTCACAGGTTAATTGTAAAAAGCAAGGAAAGGAGAAAGAGGTCTGAGGAAGTTCTTTCCTTCTAAGCAACAAAGAACACTTTAAGATTTATCAACTTATGGCATGTACCATTCTTGACCAATCTTAGATTCTTTGTTTTCACCTGCTCTGACCCAAAATATTCTCTAAATTATGAAATGAAATGGCTTTCAGAAAGCCCATGGAAGGAGTCAAAGCGCCACTACCAGTGAAATTCCAAACAAACAATCCATAGGAACAGCCTCGGTGAGTCACTCACACCCTGCGACCACAGCCCCTGACTCAGCTCTAAAGGATCGTGTTTCCTCCAAGTTGCCAGGAGCCAAGAGACACATAAAACCTCTGTTATGAATCATTCCACAGCCATCAGTGTAGATGGAAGGCCCATCTGTCCTGCTTTGACAAGGAAGGTTGCTGTAAAGAGAGAACTTGGAACAAGAATGGAAATCTCCAAAACATAACAGAAAAAAAGATTAGTTATACATGCTTTTTTGCTACAGGCTCACTCTTCATTTTCTCTACATCCCTCAAAAAAAAGTCTGGGTGTATCTGGACTATCTTCTACACTCAAGGTTACTATTGGTTTAAATTTAATTATGCACAGAACTCTTCACTGGGCTTACAAGAAAGTCCCCTAAGCAAAGGTGTTAACTGAAACAATCCAAAGCTCTTCAGCAAGGCTGGATGCCACTACCACGAACCCCTGGTAGAGCACAGTGTCACTGTCCCCTACCCACTAACCAAGCGATCATTAAATAGTTACTGTGCAATGCACTGTTCTAAGTATTGGTTACAGAGTGAAATGCCATCTTTAGATTCCGTCCTTTGAGAGAGAATCCAAAAGGCTTCCAGAAGATTCTGAGGGAGAACTATACTTAAGTTTCCCAGGAAGAAAGGCCCAGAACCAAGAGACCACTACTGTCTTTTGTTTCTTAGCTAAGACTCTCCTCTCAGATAACCCAAACATGCAATTCAGAAAGTGTAGCTCTGGGGATTCAGATGACTACAAGGCAGCTACGTTTTAACAGGGAGGGGAGGCCCGGGGGCAAAAAACTTAGGTGATTAAGGAAAGGCTGGTGGGAGTACAAGAAGAATTATCCAGAAGCAGAGGAACCAAAAGGGTCTCTGGCCCTGGGGTAGGCATCCAGGAAAGGATGTTAGAGACATCACAGACATGGAAGAAAGAGGTCCCTCTATACAGTGTTGCCTTGGGCCAGGCAGTTCTTGAGTCTGCCCTGTAAACTGTGTGGATGTGGATGTGATCGCAATTTGCTGCTAATTCCTAAGTTTCGGAGATTTCATGTGGCTTTCCAATAAAACTCCAAAGTTAAAGGAGAAAGGAGTTCTGATTAAAAATGATGACTCCCAAAGGGCAATCATTTCTTTAGTTTATGCCATATTCTGCTCTTTCCTTTTGCTTAAATGTCATCAGGATACATAGCATACTCTATATTATTCATTATTAGGAAAGCATAGCCTTTCTAAAAAAATTCTGAATATATGACAGCATAGAGAAAAACAGAGATTAAGCATTGCATAATCCTTGAAATAGTATAAAGGAACTAGTCAGCCAAGCTCCAGAGTCCTAACTCGCTGAGGCCTAACTTGGCAGCACGTATAATCATCTTCAGAGCAGAGCTCACACCTCCAGGGAGAGCATCTCAAAATGGTGAATAAAGAAATAAAAGGAAGAGAAGCTACAAAATAATTCCTGTAACTACTGTGGCAGCTACAGCAACCCAGATCTAAATGCAAAGCTAATTTCCTTGAAATTACAAGGTCTTTTTTTTTTTCATTCTACCCCATCTCCAATGGGAACAATTATTTTTTTATTGCAAGCTATCACAGCAAGACATGGGGGAAAGTTTTCAATCAGCAATCATACTGCTTTGGATAATCTTCAATCTATGATGATACCACTATGCAAAGATAATAGCAACAATTAACATCCATATGGTCAACATGACCATAAAAGCATCAGCTTATACACTGAACCAGTACTTACCATTATTATCAAATCCATGTGTAAATTCATGTCCAACAATTACTCCTATAGCGCCATAACTCAGAGATCTACAGCATAAATGTATAATTGGGAGAAAATTATAAGCATGAACGTCAGAGCATAATCCTTCAATATTTTCTCAACAAAAAGCCAAGATAATCTGTTTACTAACCACACTCACAAAATTGTAAAAAAAAAAAAAAAGTAAACACATCCTTCTCATTGAAATAGACAAAGAAAATATAATTTCTAACATTGTCATTATGAACATTTATGGGCCTTAGTTCCTACCCTGTGAAATTAGGGATGTGAAAGAGATGTTTTTTAAAGTCCCTTCCAGCCCTAAGGCTTCTATGGTTCTATATCTGCTCTAGCTGTAGTTTATATGTATAAACACCCAAAGCAGCAGCAGGGTTTGAAAAGATCCTGTCAGTAAACATACCGCTTATTTTTTATCTGAGAACCTGTTGAAAAATCACTATGGACTTAGAAGTTAAATTGTTTTCCAAACGGAGTCATGAAACAGGAAAAGAGCAGAGATTAAAAGGGATCACGCTGCTTTCAAAGGTAGTCATGTTCCTCTGCTTCTGTGACAGACAAATTCACAGCTGAACAGCAAAGACTGTGAAGCCTGAACCAGATCTGGAAAAGACGTGATATTATTTCTCTTCACCCCTAAAGAACCACGTGGTAGGTCACCTACAAAGGTGACCGCCGACAATGCCACCCACCCTGAACGCATGTGCTCCTCCTCCCGCCAAGAGGAAATCTATTTCCTCCCCCCTTGAATCTGGATGAGCCTCGGGACCTGCTGTGGCCAACAGAATGCAGTGGAAGGGGCCGCGTGTGACTTCTGGGCTGAGGCCTTATAACTTCCATTTTTGTGCCTCCTTGGAAGTCAGCTGCAGTGTAAAGAAGTTGGGGTAATGAGCTGGAGAAAAAGAAGCCAAGCGAAGCAAGTGAGAGATGCCAAACGTCGAGAGACCTCTAAAGAAAGAGAGAGGCCCAGCCAGGCCCCAGCCATTAGAGCCAGCCCAGCTGAGGCACCAGACACGTGAGCAAAATCATCTTAGATCCTATGGCCCCCATCGAGCTGTCTGTCCCAGCCAGTACTGCACAGAGCAGAAACAAGCTGTCTCGGCTGACTCCCGCCCAAATTGCAGAATCATGAGCGAACAGTGGTGGCGCTTTGTTACGGAGCAATAGGTAACTGAAAGAGAACATATAAATCATATATCAGGAAATCAATAGGGGGGCTTCCCTCTATGTGTGTCTGGGATCTTCTCTCTCAACTAAAAGTCCCCTGAAGGCCAAACCCTTATCTACTTGATTGCTGCTAAATTCTCTGTACCTAGTACACAGTAAGTAATAATGATTTAACTAATTGATTAATTAACTTTACCATTTCTTGCAAGTGACAGATCAATGTGTAACTTATTTTAGTCATTTAACGTGTGCATGAGGATTACAGACAACTTAAAATCCTTGTTATAAGGATTCTTCCTAAGATTTGTAATTATACTAAAAATATTTCACAGTTGGTTCCTGATGCAACATCAAAGTCACCCAGCAAATAGATAGGACCTATAAGTGGAAGGAACAAAAATTTTTGAAGCAACATGTTATTACAGGACATAATGATCCTTAACATGTTAATTGTTTGTCTCAACTATACCCAAGGAAGTGTTCTAAGATTTAATTTTTCCCTTTGGTGGCAGTTCCTTCCTTTGTTATTTCTCTCCTGCAAGGTAATTTGCATTTGAAAAAATGCTGTCCTACTATTTTTCCATCATTGCAAACCTTCATTAAAGAAGTAAGAGTAGGGCTTCCCTGGTGGTGCAGTGGTTGGGAGTCTGCCTGCCGATGCAGGGGACACGGGTTCGTGCCCTGGTCCAGGAGGGTCCCACATCCCACGTGCCACGGAGCGGCTGGGCCCGTGAGCCATGGCCGCTGGGCCTGCGCGTGCAGAGCCTTGCTCCGCAGGGGGAGAGGCCACAGCGGTGAGAGACCCCCGTACCGCAAAATAAATAAATAAATAAAAGAGTAAAATTATGCATTTCAATCATAGATCTATCAGAGCAGTGTGGGGCAAACTTGTAATTTTACATAGTGCTAATTTTTGCAGCAGTAGCTATCACTATGCAGCCTGCAACATTTCATTTTTTCCAGGACTCTCAGCTGAGAATAGTACTCAGTCCTCTACAAGCCTCGGTCAATGCTGTTGACTGGACGAATTTAAGGGATGAACAATGGAAGCTTATAGCAACTGCTCTGCAATAAATGTCCCTTAAGAGGGACTGCTCCAACGAGCTTCCTATTTGCAAAGGGTAATAGAGAATTCAGAAAATGATTGAATCATTGCAAGTTCCAATTCTCAGTTACATAATCACAATCTTTTGGGCAAGAGCCAAAGAAAAAGTAATTTTAGATGACTAAGCCTGACAATGATAATGTTTCATAATACTAAATTCACATCTTCCGTTGTATCAATGGACGTTATTTAAATTAGCATGTGATAAAAATAAATAAATAAACTTGTATGCCTTTTAAAATGTGACTTGCTGGCCAGAAAAAAGAAGACTCCTGCAGAGAAAATCTAGCCTTCCAAAAATAAAATGCAGAAGATGACAATTTTTCCACCTACTCAGTTTCTCTTTTGTTCTTACTACCAGATGGGTTCAACATAAGCACAGGATTTGCTGTCAACAACAAAACCACCGTACTGCTGTCTGGAGCAACCATGAGCTCGTGCTGTCATCAAGTAGAGGCTACTCTATGCCTGAAGTGGAAATTCATAAAAATCTCAGAGTTACAAGCAGCTTTAAGGTCACTTAGTTCAATTCCTTAGCAGAGGTCTACAAAAACCCATTCAAATGGTCCTAAGACTTCTCCCCTTAGGCATGTCCAATGACCAGGAGCTCAACCCCTTCTGAGGTGGATCACTGCCTCTTCGACTAGTTCCGAACAAAACAGTGCTCCTAATGTTGATCTGGAATCTCTCTTCTACCTATTGGTCTAGTGTAGTGGTCTAAGGTATTCTAAACACCCCTCTGGCCTCCCCAAATTTAGTAAATGATTCTGCTACCTTAACTTTCCTTAAAAAATGTGAAAACAGTTACGAGGTTACCCCTCAAGTGTTCTCTTCTCAAGTTCTTTCAACTCTTTTCTCTTCAGTCATGAATTCTTGACCAGCAGTTCCCAAAACACAGGAAAAAGGGGAGTTTAGGGACTTCTGGCAGGACTTCTTGGGAATTTCTATGCTGCTAAGTACTGCCATTCTCCAAAACAAAGGGAAGGGGAGGACAACTCACCTCTATTACTACTTCATGGAACACACACTTTGGGATATTTTGTCTTATGCCGTTTACAATCTTGATTCTTTCCTCTGGAAATAATTCAGCTTGTTTATGTCACCACAATTAGACCCAACACTCACCGGAGGGCTAAGCTGACCAGTGTGAGCAGAAAGAATAGCCACTCCTTGGTTCTGGAGGAAATCCATCTAGAACAGATGCATGTATGGGAACCCATCTCACTGGACTGTGATCTCCATCTCTCCAGCACCTCCACATTTCCAATGTTGAGTGCCCAACGATGCTTAATAATTATTCATTGAATGGGCATGTTAATAGAGGATGAATGGCTTCAATGCAAACACAGAACACTTAGGAAAAAAATAAAAATCTCGGGAAGAGGGGAAGATGGCCGAAGAGTAAGACACGGAGATCACCTTCCTCCCCACAGATACACCAGAAATACATCTACACGTGGAACAACTCCTACAGAACACCTACTGAACGCTGGCAGAAGACCTCAGACCTCCCAAAAGGCAAGAAAAGTCCCACGTACCTGGGTAGGGCAAAAGAAAAAAGACAAAACAGAGACAAAAGGATAGCGACAGGACCTGCACCAGCGGGAGAGAGCTGTGAAGGAGGAAAGGTTTCCACACACTAGTCTTCGCGGGCGGAGACTGCGGGGGGCAGAGGGGGTAAGATTCGGAGCCACGGAGGAGAGCACAGCAACAGGGGTGCGGAGGGCAAAGCGGAGAGATTCCCGCACAGAGGATCAGTGCCGACCGACACTCACCAGCCCGAGAGGCTTGTCTGCTCCCCCACCGGGGCAGGTGGGGCTGGGAGCTGAGGCTCGGGCTTCGGTCGGAGCACAGGGAGAGGACTGGGGTTGGCGGCGTGAACACAGCCTGCAAGGGGTTAGTGCACCACGGCTAGCCGGGAGGGAGTCCGGGGAAAAGTCTGGACCTGCCAAAGAGGCAAGAGACTTTTTCTTCTCTCTTTGTTTCCTGGTGCGTGAGGAGAGGGGATTAAGAGCGCTGCTTAAAGGAGCTCCAGAGATGGGCGCGAGCCGCGGCTAAAAGCGTGGACCCCAGAGACGGGCATGAGACGCTAAGGCTGCTGCTGCCGCCACCAAGAAGCCTGTGTGCGAGCACAGGTCACTCTCCACACCCCCCTTCTGGGGAGCCTGTGCAGCCCGCCACTGCCAGGGTCCCGGGATCCAGGGACAACTTCCCCAGGAGAACGCACGGCGCGCCTCAGGCTGGTGCAACGTCATGCCGGCCTCTGCCGCCGCAGGCCCACCCCACACTCCGTGCCCCTCCCTCCCCCGCGCCTGAGTGAGCCAGAGCCCCCGAATCACCGGCTCCTTTAACCCCATCCTGTCTGCCTGTCTGAGCGAAGAACAGACGCCCTCCTGCGACCTACACACAGAGGCGGGGCCAAATCCAAAGCTGAGCCCCTGGGAGCTGTTAGAACAAAGAAGAGAAAGGGAAATCTCTCCCAGCAGCCTCAGAAGCAGCGGATTAAAGCTCCACAATCAACTTGATGTACCTTGCATCTGTGGAATACGTGAATAGACAACGAATCATCCCAAATTAAGGAGGTGGACTTGGAGAACAAGACTTATGATTTTTTTCCCCTTTTCCTCTTTTTGTGAGTGTGTATGTATACGCTTCTGTGTGAGATTTTGTCTGTATAGCTTTGCTTCCACCATTTGTCCAAGGGTTCTATCCGTCCTTTTTATAAAAATTTTTTTTTCTTAATAATTACTTTACATT